GTATAGTCATTGTTGTAATGTAGGAAACCTGGTGACCAATTTGCACTCAGTAAGCTCCCAAAAACAAAAGTATGGTTATGATAAAATAATTGATTGAGGGATACATTTTAGCCAAAACACCAGGGAAAATTTCTCAGCTGCTTCTTAAAATAGTACCATGGAATCTTTTACATCCATTTAAGAGGGCAGAGAGGTCCTTGGTTTAATGTCCAAATCGAAACCTAGCATCTCAAACAGTTCTCCTTCAGTATGGCATTGATATGTATTGCAGTAATGTGAGATCCACACTCACACGTGAACAGCAGTAAGCTTTAGAGAACATAACTATTTACAGAGAATGGTAAGTGAGGACATCTTATCTGGGTTAAACACAAAGAATGCTGGAAAAACTCAACAGGTCTGGCAGCATCTGGAGAGAGAAACAGTTAAAATTTCAAATCCTGAAATCCTGTTCTAAAAAAGAGTCATATCAGACTTGTAATATTAACTCTGTTTCTATCTCCACAGATGCTACCAGACCTACTGAGTTTCTCCAGCATTTTCTGTGTTTGTTTCAGATTCCCAACCCCACCCACAGTACTTTGCCTTTATTCGGCATTTGGATATCTTTCCAGAAAAGGAAAGTAGAGAGTTAGCCAGTTGTCTTTCTCATCAGAGTGATCGACATCATCTGGACAGAATACAGAAAATCTGAAGGACAAGATATTTATTGAATTAATCTTTCCTCTAACCTGTTAACCAGCTCAGCCTGTACCATATTCTAACTCCAGCTAACATTACAGTCATGTTCTTTGCTTATCCTGCTACAAAACCGTGAACTGTTGTCCTGATCATAAGTATGTATATCTCACACTCAGATTCTGGGGTCAGAGCAAAAATGTGCAGAATTACACTTCACACTGTGCGCGAGATGATTCATAAACATTTATTGCATCAGTGAAAAAGGTGATGTACATACTTTTCCGATTCAGAACTCTTGATTTCCTATTTCTAGAATTACACAGGACACAGATTATTGTGCACTGTTTACTTGGTTTAGTCTTATGCTGATAGCTGAATGCAGATCTTTCTTCTGTTAACACCAGTTTTGTCTATATAATGTAAGCAATACATAATACAGTCTACATTCAATCTCAGTCTACAGAATATGTGCAAATTTGTCAAGCTCTAGAAGTTAAATTTTGCTTAAATTTTCACAGGTACTTCATCAACACTTGATACAAAAATCAAAATATCAATGATCTTTGGTAATATCCCATACCTTTTTGACACATTTTTTAAATTCATGCACATTGGGTTAACATCTAAAGTGCACACAACTCTGCTATAAGGAGACTGCAGTGTAACTAATGATGCATGTATTGCAATACAGAAACTGAAATGCTGGTTCATTTGCAGTCAAAAACGCTAAGCTATAAAACAGCGACTTATTTTAATACCTCAGAAATGGACATGTGGTGAAAAAAAAACAATTGGTTGACCTAAGTAACTAAAAGATCAACATACAAATTATTTCTAGAATGAGAAAGTTAAGAAGGTGATAAAATCATAGAATTCCTACAGTACAGAAAGAGCCATTCAGCCCATCAGGTCTGCACTAACTCTCCAAACAGCATCCCACCCAGACCCAGCTCCACCCCCTATCCTATCCCCATAACCCCATGTTTACCATGGCTAATCCACCTAGTCTGCACATCCTTGGACATTATGGGGCAATTTAGTGTGGCTAATCCACCTAACCTGCACATCTTTGGACTGTAGGAGGAAACTGGAGCACCCAGCAGAAACCCACAGAGACATGGGGAGAATGTGCAAACTCCACACAGTCAACCAAGGCTGGAATCAAACCTGGTTCCTTGGCGCTGTGAGGTAGCAGCGCTAACTACTGAGCCACCATGCCATCCATGTGATGTGTATGCACTTCAAACGATGTCATGAAGTAGACAGATCCAGGTGATTTGCAGTAGACAAAAGGAAACTTACAATTAAGCCAAGAGAAAAAAGCTAGTCTTTCTAGTTAATCACTGCTGTTGCAGCTTAAAGATAGAATCTGACATAGTTAACATATGTGATCCTAAAGTGCTGTGTTGCAGTGTTATATGTTGTGAACACTAAGGGGCAGCAATTCATTCAAAATGATCTTTCTTTCTGGGGTGAATTGTTCATGAATAGAGGAGGTCCCATCATATCCTCTGTCCTCCTGGATTTAACTTTGTCTCGTTCTAGTTTCTTTGGGAGCTAGCTGCATTTTAGATATCCTGCACCCTTCTTTATCCAAGCCATACTGCAGAACTCTGCTTCTGAACTTTCAGAACTCTCATGCCAGGAATGCTATTTCATTGAGTCATTCTCACCACCACCACTCCTTTGCTTCCCATTCCAAATTGCCGCAATAAAGCTCTCCCTCATTATTAATGCTGACTTCCTTTCATGCTTTTCCCTTCCTTGTGACTGTTGCACATTATTCACCTGCCTTGTACGCCTTATACATTTTCTCCTAATCTTTCTTGAGGTACATCCAAGGATATTCAAGGATGTGAGTGGATATTGCAGAGGCACTTGCAATTATCTTTGAATTTTCTCTGGGTTCATGCTTAGTGCTGGACGACTAGAGAATTGTAAACATTATGCCCTTGCTCAACAAAAGTTGTAATGATCAGCCAGCAATTACAGATCACTTAGTTTAACTTCAGTGGTGGGGAAACCTCTAGAAACAATTATTTTGGATAGAATTGATATCCATGTGGAGACATGAGGATTGATTCAAAAGAGTCAGCATGATTTATTTCAGGGAAAATCCTGTTTCTTTAACTTACTGGAGTTAATGTGAACAGAGAGAACTGATGAGGGAAAGGCTGTTGGTGTGTATGTGTCTTCCAAAAGATGTTCGATACTGTGACACAAAACAGGCTTGTGACAAAAATTATAAATCATAAAATAAAAAGGACAATAGTTACATGGATACAAAATTGACTGAGGGATGATAAACAGAGTATTGGTTAATGGGTACTTTCCAGGCTGGAAGAAGGTTTGTCGTGGAGTTCCCCACGTACTGGTACTGAGACCTTGCTTTTCCTAATATATATAAATCATCTCGATCTTGGTGTGCAGGGGACAATTTCAAAGTTTGTGAATGCAAAACTTGGGAGAATTGTAAACTCTGAGGATGACAGTATAGAACTTCAAAAGGACAATGACACATTGGTGCAGTGGGCAGATAGATGGCAGATGAAGTTTAACATGGAGAAGTGTGAGCAGACATTCTTTGGTACAAAGAACCTAGAGAACCAATATAAGATAAAGGGTGTGCAGGAGGAAGAGAGGCTTGGGTGCATATATGCATAAGTTATTAAAGGTGACAGAGCAAGTAAAGAGATTTGTTAATAAAGTATTTCATTATCTAGGGTTTATTAATAGGGGCTTAGAGTATAACAGCAAGGAGGTTATGATGAATTTATAAATGCTGGAGTATGGTCTACAGCTTTTGGCATCACATCACAGAAGAATATGAGTGCACTGGAAAGAGTACAGAAGAGGTTTATGAGAATAGGACATTGCATTAAGGGTCAACCACATTACTGTAGGTCTGGAGTCACATGTAGGTCTGATAGTGCAAAGACAGCAGATTTCCAATTGACAATGGTTACTATTCGGTATGGTAACTCCTTTACATTGCTCCTGGTAATTCCTATAGCATACCTCCATTGGTAAACTGCATAGGAGTTACCAAAGATATTCTATATTGTTCATCCACCAGGCCTCCTATAGTTTCCCCCCAGTAACCCATATAGATCACCCCAGGAAATCACATATTATCACAGGTAATCCCTTTAAAATATCACCCACCAAGTAATGCCCAAGGAATATCTCCAATAACCTCTGTAGAATACGGCATGGTAACTCTGATGGAGTGTCACAGTAATAGCTATAGATTACACTCAGTAACTACTATAGATTAAACCCAGCAGCTCCTATAAAGTAAACCCTGTAATTCTTATGTAACACTTATAAATTACCTCCAATAACTCCTAAAGGTTATCCCCCATCCAGTAATTCTATATAATATCCCTGATAAATGATATAGAATACCCCAGTAAGTCCTGTAGGTTACCACAGCAACTCCTAAAATTTGCCTTGGTTGTCCCGAGAGATTGACTCAATAAATCCTAGATATTAAATCAGGTAACCTTTTATTAATTACTCTGGCACCTCTTATACATGACTCTTAGAGATTACTTTATTACCCTCTTTAGCATACCCTTACGCTAAATTGGAAAACGCCGAGACTTTACTCTCCGTATCTTGTGATTGTCCAGGCTAACTCGTATACCCAGCCCTGTTACTGTAGTGACGGAGCCACAGTGGCTGCTCTGTTACCCTGGCTTATTTCCAATTTTCAACTTTTCTCTCCGAATTTCTCCAACCTGGGAAAAAGTGATTTCCTCTAACATCCAATCCCTGCGTCCCTCGCCCTCCCGATTATCCAATCCGAGCCTTCTGGTCGAAAAGCCAACCAGGACACGGAGAGGCGATCCAATCAACACAGATTGGCTCGGGTGGGCCAGAGAGAGCAGCCTGACCATTCATTTGGATGGTTTTATGTGAATTTGGAGATGATTAGGTGTGCCGTTGTATGAAGCACGGCAGTGGGGTCTTTGTTAAAGTTTTGAGTAGCCTTTGAAGAATACCTTAAAGCTGAACTTTCACCAACTCTTCGCTATCTCCACTTCCTGATCCATTTGTCTTTTCAGTTCCATCAAAGGCAGTTTGTTCTCTGTAGGTATCCATAGGTAAAGCAGCTTTTTCTTGTCAGGTGAGCTCCCAGATTTCAGTCTGGCTTCCTGGGTGGTCATTTCTATCGGTTTAACTGGTGCAGGAGTTAAGGGCGAATCCAGTTCCAGGTGATCATTCAGCTCCCGGCCACAGTCCCCAGGAGGCGGGGCTGGGAGGGGCTCTGTCTTAGTTCAGGTAGGACAGAACAATATTTGTTTCCGCGATTTAACAGCTGATTTTACGAAAAAAAGCCGAGAAAAGGTTGGGGACGACGGGCACCGAAATGTTTTGCATGAAATTTAGTTAAAACACTTTCTTTGTGTGGGTGTGTAGGAGAGGGATGTTGGAGTTAACAGCAGCTTGAAATTCTCAGTTTAAATCGGAATTGCTGACGTTTCCTCTTAAAAAGAAAGAATTTCAGTGATGTCAGTATCAGTCTTCCCATGATCCGGAAGGTTTCCTTTTAAGGGGATAAGCGTCGATTTGATTCCAGCGGAATGAAATTGTTTAGTGCTAGAGATTTTTGTAGAAGACTGATACAAGAACTTGAAATCTTAACTCTGTTACTCTCAACTACAGATGCTGCCAGATCTGCTGAGTTTTTCCTGCACTTGTTAGAGATTGTATTGTTCCTGATAATGAAGAAACAAGATGCTAACGTGTAACTAATTTTCAGCCTCTCTGCTCCTATGATGCTGCTTGGCCTGCTGTGTTCATCCAGCCCTGCACCTTGTCACTAATTTTCAGAGTTCGGTTTAGTACAGGGGTAGAATTGCTCACTTGCTCTCTCTTTAGGCATTTGAACTTCATGAAGTGCCTTCCACTAGACATCTAGGAGAGGTTGACTTAACGAACACTGTCTGAACCAGGCAGACTAAGTTCAATTCAGATACAAGAAGATTTGATTAACTGCGAGACAGAAAAGATAATGGGCTGAATCTTAACGTTTTGTGGCCAAGCTTTAATGTTGTTGAGTTTCACAGAGGGTTTCTTTCGTTGTGACCTCGCAAGTTTTCAGATTGTATTTTACAAAATCCAACTTGTTAACCTTTCCCCCAACACACACACACACACAGGCATGCTCCTTGTCCAATTCTTGCTCTATTCTACCATTTGCTGTACCCAAAACACCTCACCATTGTTGCGATATTGCCCATGCCACCTTTAAGAGCCTGTTGTGCACACAGACCAGAAATGTTTGTTTGGAGTTGCTCTGCACAGTTCCAGACACTTGCTCCAGAGATGGCAGAGAAGGGAAAACTGATGCTTTGCTGTGGGCACAGGGCACTCGAGATGGTCAGTGACCTTTTCCACTCCTAGTGTAAGTGCCACCGTCTTTTTTCTGATACCTCCCAATCTATCACTGCCACAGTACCCAGCTCCCATCCAGATTCATGCCCTACCACTCTCAGTATAGCATGCAACATCTTCCTTCACTTGCTGTTGCCCACCCTGACAGTGCTAACCTTGCATGCCCTCGGCTGCCTATTCAATCGCTTGGGATAACTCCCAGCACCACGAATGAAAGTAACCACTGTGCCACCCACAAAAATTTATTTACGAACCAATCCGTACTATCTTTATACAGAGAAAACACAGTGTGGAGCTGGAGGAACAAGCAGGCCAGGCAGCATCAGAGGAGCAGGAAAGTTGACATTTTGGATCGGGAAGAAGGATCCCGACCTGAAACGTCAACTTTCCAGCACCTCTGATGCTGCCTGGCCTACTGTATTATCTCTGACTCCAGCATCGGCAGTTCTTACTACCTCATCTTTATGCAGCGCAATGTTTCATTCCCCCTGGAGATTTGGTGTTCTTGAGATGCTGGCCTTATGAATGCAAAATGAAAAGCTTTGACATCATGTAATTCTTCAAGCAAATCTCAAATTCGTTATTGCCATGTGACCATTCTCTTGTAGAAAATACAAACTGTTATGAAAATAATTAATGATGTTGACCACTAAATTCTTGCACAGTTATAATGATAAATATTTTTCTGATTTAAGGGAGAAATAGTGTGGCCCAGGATCAGTTCATTTCAACAAAAAAAATGGAGAATTCAGGTATTGTATGATTATTTCATAAATAGAATGGGATGAACTTAATAGCAATTTCAAGCAGCTGGTGTAGGCCTAGTGAACTTCATGGTCCCCTGTATTGTTTGACTTTATAATTGAATTGTTCTTTAAAGATCAGATATTCCATTTGTGTTGTCCTGATAAATGTGAGGTGATGCATTTTGGGACATGTAATAAAAGAAGAATTTACACAATCAATGGTAGATCCCTAGGGAGTACTGAGGAACGAACAGACTTTGGCGTGCATGTCCAGAGATCTCTGAAGGTGTCAGCACAAGTAAATAGGGATACAGGATGCTTGTCTTCATTAGCTGGGATGTAGAATTTATGAGTAGGAAAGTCTTGTTGCAACTTTACAGAGCATTGGTTAGAACCATAGATGGAATACTGTGTGCATATCTAGCCACCACACTGTTGGAAGGATATGATTTTCCTGGAGAGGATGCAGAGCAGGACATTGCCTGAGATGAAAAGTCTCAGTTATGAGGAGAGACTGAATAGGCTGGGTTTGTTTCCTTTGCAGAAGAGGCTGAGGGGGGAATCTAATTGAGATATACAAAATGTTGAGGCATAGGGAACATAATGAAAGGTTTTTATTCCCCCCATGGCAGATATGTCTAAGACCAGAGGGCATAAATTTAAGGTGAGGAGTAAGTGGTTTAGAGGAGATCTGAGGAAATTTTTTATCACCCAGAACGTGGTAGATATAAGGAACGTGCTGCCTCAGTGTGGTGGAGGCAGGTACTTTCACAACATTTAAAAAGCATCTGGACGAACACTTAAAATTCCACTGCATAGACTGTGGACCATATACTGGTAAATGGGCTTAGTTTATTTTGGTTTTTGTCGGTCAGCATAGACATGGTGGGCCAAAGGGCCTGTTTCTATGCATGTGACTCTGCAGCTAACACCACATTGGCCTTGTCACTCAACTAGTCAGTAAATTAGATGAAAAAGTCATGAAGCATTGAATCATGGAGCATAATGTCCAGTACATCCTTTTAAGTTTTCAATGTTCATCAGAGGTTGAACCAATAATTTATAAATTTTCCAAATCCCTTACTTTAGTGCACTTTATGCCTCTATTTACAATGCCCAGGATCCTGCATGTCGTCTTAACTGTTTCTCAATGTTGTACTCGCACCTTAAATTTTGTGGTTGTGGATTTGGAAGATGTTGTCTAAGGAGCTTTGATTAATTTCTGCAGTGCAAATCGCTTCTACTGAGCATCGGTGGGCTGTTTTGTCCTGGATGGTGTCACGTTTCTTGAGTGTAATTGGGGCTTCACTCATCCAGGCAAGTGGGGAGTATTTCATCAGACTCCTGACTTGTACCTTTGTAGTTGGTGGCCAGTTTTTGGGAAGTCAGGGGGTGAGTTACACACTGCAGGATTCCAAGCGTCTGACCTGCTCTTGCAGACGCGATTTATGTGGCCCGTCTAGTTCAGTTTCTGGTCAATGAGAATGCCCAGATGCTGATAGTGGGGAATTCAATGATGGTAATGCCACTGAATGTCAAGGGGCAATGGTTAGATTCTCCCTTGAAGATAGCCTTTGTCTTGTACTTGTGTGGCACAAATGTTACATGCCACTTCTCAGCCAAACCTGGATATTTTTGGGTCTTGCTGCATTCAGACATGGACAGTTTTGATATCCGAGAAGTGGCAAATGCTACTGAACACTATGCGGTCATCAGCGTGCATTTGCATATCTGATGTTATGAAGAAGGTCAGGTCGTTGAAACTGCTGAAGATGATCAAGCTAGGACATTACCCTGAGGAGTGCCTGCAGAAATGACTGGTCTTCTACTGCCATGCACATCATCCTGAACGGCTGGGTAAAACTCCAACCAGTGAAAAGTTTTCCCCTCGATTCCCATTGATTTTGGTTTTCCTAGAGTTCTTTGATGCTTTACTTGGGGTAGAGCATCATTGATGTCAAGGGCAGCCCCTCTCACTTCCCTTCTGGAATTCAGCTCTTTTCTCTATGTTTGAACCAAGTCTGTAATGAGGGCAGGAGCAGAATGTTCCTGGCAGAATCTAAGCTGAATGTCAGTGAACAGGTTGTTTCTAAGCAAGTGCTACTTGATGGCACTGTTGATGATACCTTCCATCACTTTACTGATGATCCAGAATGGACTGATGGGTGGTAATTGTTTGGGTTGGATTTGTTCTGTTCTTTGTATGGACAACATACCTAGGAAATTTTCCACATTGTCTGGTAGATGCCAATGTTGTAACTGTACTGGAACAGCTTGGTGAGGGATGTGGCAAATTCTAAAGAAAGCATCTTTAGTACTATCACTGGAATGTTGTCAGGGCCCATGCCTTTGCAGAATCCACTATCTCCAACCATCTCTTGATATCACCTGGAGTGAATTGAATAGGCTGAAAACTGGCATCTCTGCTGGAATCTCTTGAAGCATAGATTCTCAACTCGCCTCTTGGCATTTGCTTCCACCTTTTATTTTGTACTGCAGCGCTGGCCTCCACCATATCTGAGAATATCCTCCAGTGGATTGTCTAATTGTCCACCACCATTCATGAATGGTTGTAGCAGGACTGCAGAGCTTAGATCTGATCTGTTGGTTGTTAGACTGCTTAGCCCTATCAACAACTGTGCCACATGACATGATGGAGGATACCCTCTCTCTCTAAAGAATGGATTTCAACTCCACGAAGACTATATGAGGTGGTCACTTGTATTGATTATATTGTGGACAGATGTACGTGTAGCAGGCAGATAGGTGTGGATGAAATCAAGTATCATCTTCCTTCATGATTCCCTCATAATCCACATAGACTCAGTCTAACAATAATGTCCTTTAGGGCTCAGCCAGATCAATCAGTAATGGTACTACAGATTCACTCTTGGTCACTACCATCCAGAGTACTTTCTGCGTCCCTGCCACCCTGCCTCCGACTGATGTAAGAATACTGATTCACCAGCTGAGTGAGGGGGTGGGGAGGTTTTGAACAGTCAGGAACTCAACTAAAATGCAGGATGCCCAAGGTAATCTCAGGACAACTGCCAGAGCCATGGGCAAACTGACATGAGTAAATAAAGTTGAGGAGTTGAATGTGTAGCTCAGGAAGTGTTGTAGGAGGAATGAATTTTAATTTGTGGGGCACTGGCACCAGTGCTGGATAGAAAGAAGCTGTTCCAATGGCTTTACTTGAACCATGCTGAAATCAATGTCCTGGTGAATTGAAGAATTAGAGCTATAGAGAAGACTTTAAACTGAATAGGGAAGGTTTAGGACTTGGGAGAAGGCATATGTAGGTTTACAAAGCAAATTGATCTATGGAATTGCAGGGCAACTACTGAGATAATGACTGGAACAGGAAGGGACAGAGTGTACAAGTATTTAAAAACAAAAGGCAGCCAAATGGCTCTCTACTTTTTTGTGTGTGGTAGTTAAAATGAAACAATTTAATTAATGAGACCAATAGTGTTTAGTGACCATGATCTTGTGACTATGTCTCTGCAAATGTCCGTAAGGAGATCAAAGCTAGGAACTAAATATTCAGGAATATGTGACATTTTGAAAAGAGAAGCAGGAAGGGATAGGCAGTTAGATAGCATTGTTAGTATGGGATAGAATAAGTCTGATAATGTGAAATGATCTGTGTTGGATAATGTGTAATCTGTTTAGTGGAGGTAAGAAATAACGAGGGGAAGAGCACACTGGTGGGAGGAGTCTACAGTCTCCTTAGAAGTTGCTATACAAAAGATATTGAGATAATGACGGTTTGTGAAAAAGACATTATTTTAATCATCGGTGATTTTAATCTTCATGTAGCTTGTGAAAATCAAAGAGGCAGAGTTAGCCATGAGGAAGAATTTATGGGATATTTTTGGGACAGTTTCCAGGAACAATATTTTCTGGATTCAATCAGGGATCAGGCTATTTTGGATCTGGCAGAGTGTAATGAGGCAGATGTAAGAAATGATCTGAATAAAAGATTCCCTACGGAAAAGTGACCATAACATGGTAGAGTTTAGCATTCGGTTTGAGAATGAGAAACTTGGGTTGTAAACACCTGTGCTTAACTTAAATAAGACTAATCACATAGAGATGAGGGGAGAGTTGGCTGGAGTGGACAAGGAAAAGAGTTTAGCAGAAAATATGGGTAAACAATGGTAGACATGTAAGAAAATAGTTCATGACTCTCAAAAAAGACAGTGAGAAAGCAGGATTCTAGGATGGGGCTAACCAAGAAAGTTTAATATAGTATCAAATTTTTGCTTCTTTTTTCAATGTGTCAAAGCTCAGTGGTAAAGCAGAGGATTGGGAAAATTTTAAAAGCTAACAAAAGATGACCAAAGAAATGCAAAAACAAGGAAGAAAGCAAACTGAAGATGAACTAGTGTTTTGACCCACTTCAGAAAGTACTGATTCTCGAGCCCTGCTTCTCCCAGGGAATCCATAAAAGTTAATGATTTATGTGGAGCCATGAAGTCCCCAATTTACCTGTTGGAACCTTGATAACAGGAAGCACTGACCAGGTCTCTGTACTCAACAAGAACCACTATTTATTACAAATACATAAATTCCAATTATAAGTAAACAGCTATGAATTATCAACAAATGGCTCTATACATGGCTTGAATCACAAAAAGTTAACATCCAAGTCCAGTGGGCAATAGTGAAAGCAAATGGAGTGTTGGCCTTTATTTCAGATGGAATGAATATTAAAAATAGGGGCGTCTTGCTAAAACTATACAAGGCACTACTTGGACCAGCTTGTTTGCTGTGAACCATTTTGGGCCACTTATCTAAAGATAGCTGTGCTTGCAGCAATCCAGAGAAGATTCATTAAATGGGCCCTGAGTAAGAAGGGATTTTCTTATGAGGAGTGGTTGAGTAGGCTGGGCCTATACTCTTTGCAGTTTAGAAGAATGAGAGGAAATATTATTGAACCATCTAGGATTCTTAGGCCTGACAGACTAAATGCTGAGAGGCTTTCTCCCCTTGTTAGCTTTTAAAATTTTCCCAATCCTCTGCTTTACTACTGAGCTTTGACACATTGAAGAAAGAAGCAAAAATTTGATACTATATTAAACTTTCTTGGTTAGCCCCATCCTAGAATCCTTCTTTCTCACTGTCTTTTTTGTGAGTCATGAACTATTTTCTTACATGTCTACCATTGTTTACCCATATTTTCTGCTTAGAGGGCATAATCTTAGAGTAAGGGGTTTCCCATTAAGACAGAAATGAGGAATTTCTTCTCCAGTGGTAGTATATCTGTCATTAAGTATATTCAAAGTGGTGATAGATTTTAATCAGTAGGTGAATTAGGTTGTTTGAGATAAAGACAGGAAAATGGCACCTTCTTTATCATTTCAGCCATGATCTCATTGAATGGCAAAGCAGTCTAGCTGGGCTGAATGGCCTCCTCTGCTCCTACATCTTATGGTCAAACAGGACATGGGCGGGTAGAATTGGCAAATATGTTGCAGATGGAATTTGATAGAGTAGCTTGGGTGAATGTATTTGACAGAAGACATCAGGAAAGGCAGCACAGAGTTGATGTGATAGTTCTAAAAATTGTGCAGGAGCCTGTGGACCTTTACATGCAACCTGGAATGTGGCAGGACATATTGAGATAGTGGCTTGCAAAGAATCTGGGAACCTGGGCTTCATAAACGAGTTTGAGTACAAAATCAGCAACGATATGCTGAACTTTTTAAACTCTGGTTTAGGCCACAGCTACAGGATTGCTTTCAATTTAATTAGCAAGTTTTAGGAAGGATGCGCAAATCCCTGAGAGGGTACAGAGATTTTCCACATACCAGTGATAAGGGATTTTAGCTACACACTTGAGTTAGAGAAGCTGGCGACATTCTCCCTGAAGCAAAGAGGATTGAAGAAAGGTTTTGAGAGGTGAGACCAGTTTAGGGAAGGTTGTAAATACAAAATATGGGCATGAGAGAGCCAGGATGAGCTGAATGGCTTCTTGCGCTGTCATGACCGAGTCTAAAACATTGGCTTCCCCAATTTTCTTCCCTCTTGAAGAAATTGCCTATTTTTTTTTTCCAAGGATTACAGTCTGTGCATTGACATTGAATCCTAATAGCAACCTCCTCCCTGCCTGTATTCTTTGAGCATAGATATTTACTGTTGAAGTTCAATTGAAGGGGACTAGATGAGTGTGTCTGATCTTGTTTTCCTATCCTTGACGTTCTGAGTATTCAATGAAGGTTCAGGAAATAAGCACTTTTGGATAGTCTGTGAACATCTGAGCAGTTTTGGCTGTGTAAGGCAAACATTGTATATTTTTTTAGGTTCCAAACAGCACAAGGATGAAATCAGCATGAAGCATTCAAAGTCTCCCTTCAATCTGATTGTGAACCAGATTTGGAGGAATAAATCTTTTTCCGAGAGATGGCCACAATCTTCAATGGCTCGCTTCTTTAAAATCACTGAGAATTCTAATGAAGCTGCCTGTGTGACAGAAAAGTGGAAGGAAGGAAAAACCTCACTGGATTCAGAAAATAAAGAGAATGTTTCAAAGATATCAGGTAAGGATAAATGTATTAACTTTATAATTTTAGATGCATGTCTTGCTAAGTTTAAAAATAACCAGGAAAATCAAGTCAGCAAGGCTTAACAACACTGTGTTCATGCAAGATTCTTGCACACTTGTAATCCATTGGCTCTAATGAACACAACTGGCTGATTGAATCTGTGTTTGACGTTAAAATTTGCCACATGAAAAATTATGTCTCACGTCTCCACTGTACCTTGAGCAAAACCTTGTATCTATGTTGGCACCTTAACTTTAGTAATATAAAGCAATGAACATTGGATGCTGGAGATCTGAAACAAAAGCAGAAAGTTCAGTGGAAACTCAGCAAGACTGACAGCATCTGTGGAGAGAAAAAAAGTGAATGTTCAGGTCCTGTCTGAACTGTGTATTCGGTATGGCTCTTGGTTGTATTGTCCACCTGACTCCTGTCATAGACCATTTTTTTCAACGTAATCATTATCCCATTTGTTATAGAGTCATCGTGTCATACAGCGTGGAAACAGATCCTCCAGTCCAACTAGTCCACACTGACAGTTCCCAAACTAAACTAATCCCACTTGCCTGGGTTTGGCCCATATCCCTCCAAACCTTTCCTATTCATGAACTTATCCAAATGTCTTTTAAACATAATAACTGTGCCTGCATCCATCACTTTCTCTGGCAGTTCATTCCACACACGAACCGCACTCATTGTGTGTAAAAGAAACGTTTGGCCCTCGTCCTTTTGAAATCTTTCTCCTGTCAACTTAAAAATATGCCCCCTAGTTTTGAACTCCCCCGCCCTAGAGAAAAGACCCAATTTCACCTTATCAATGCCCCTCACAATATGATAAACCTCTACAAAGTCACTCCTCAACCCCCGATACAATGAGAAAAAATCCCAGTCTTTCCAGTCTATTTTTATTGCAGACCCTCTATCCCCGTCCAGGGACCTCTGCATATTTTTGCCCTGTCTTTGCAAATTGTGTGGCAGAAATGAGATATACACCAACAATCTCTCCTTCATCCTCAGACTATTTTTGAACTATCCATAACAGTTCTGGAGCGTTTATTCTTATTAATTCAGTTTCTTCTGTTTTTAGTTCACAATTTTCCAATTCCAAATTTGAAACTAACACCTGAGTTTCAATAGAAAAGAGTAGAATACTCATTTACCCATTTGTTAGCCAGTTTCCTGTGATGCCACACTTTGATGCTTTTGCAACATCTATTGTGGCTGATCTGATTGCATCTCATCAGACCCTCAACTTATCTGTCTGTCAAAAATCTATTTAACTCCCATGCCCAGCCTCCACTACCTTCTGGAGAAGGGAATACCACAATATAATGACCCACAATAGAACTGAGTGAAGGGAAAGAAAAGGTTCTCCACATCTGTCTTAAAAGCAAAACCTCACTCAAACTGTTAACAAACGGGACTTGATGTTGATCTGCACAATGTAGTATGAGGGCAGATGGCCTATAGCTTGGTCAAAGAAGCAACTTTAAGAAGTCATTAAAGAGGGATGGGATTGCAAATACGTTTTGGAAGATTTTTAAGCAAGGATGAGAAGTTTTTCATTGAGGCTTTTCCAGACCAAGAGCTGAAGTAGGTCAACATACACAAGGATAGTGTTGAATAGAACTAGAAGTTATGGCCCAAATCATGGTTCTGGATAATCTTGAGTTTATGTATTTTTGAGAGGCCTGTCAGGAAGTTGTTGTAGTACTCAGGGTTAGGGTGAACAGGCAACAAAGGCACGGAGGAATGGTTCAGGAGCAGATGAGCTGAGGCAGCATGGAGTGGACTGATATAATAGAGGTGGAATTATGAGGTTGTAGTGATGGTAAGGATTTGTGATTTGCTTACCATGGGCCAGGTATGATACCAAGATTGGGAAATGTTTGGCTGAGTTCAGACAATTGTCAGGCACAGGAAGGAAGCCGCTGGGGAATGGGACTTCTGGCTGGGACTGAAGGCAATGGTTTAATTTGTCTCCATATTTGGGTTCCAGGATGAAAACATCAAATACTAGGTGGTATAGGCTTAAGGTGAGAGGGGAAAAGTTTTTATACAGAACGGTGGTAGGTGCCTAGAATGCACTGATAGGGAGCATTGTAGAAGTGGAAAGAAATAGCAAAGCTTGAGGCATTTTGACAGACACCTGAACATGCAGGGAAGAGAGAGATATGAAACATGTTCAGCCAGATCCAGTTAGTTTAGAATGGCATCATGGTCGGTACAAACATGATGGGCTGAAGGAGCTGTTCCTGTGCCGTTCTATGTTCTTTGATGCTTCGTATTATTTACATGAATATCAGATATCCAGAAACCATTGTTAGCTTGTTACTTGTGTATACTTATGAGCTAGGAGGAAAAGAGTTTTAAGAGGGAGGAGAAAAAAAAGTTGCTATTTAGATATATTAGCAGTGAAATATGGTTGACATTCATTGACCCACTTACTTCGAATGATTTGTTTGTTTGTCTTGTATTAAGATGAATTGAAGCCCACAGATCCCGAGAACAGTGCAGCAAGATGGGATCAAGTCGTCGAGTTCATGGAGAGGCTGGGCAAGGAGCCAAATCATAAATGTATGGATCTTAATAACAGCAGCCTCACTGCTAATGATGCAGTTAATTTGGGTAAGTTTATGCAGTATTAAAAATCTTGGGCCTGGATTCAGCATGTTAATCACTCAGGGGAAAAGCATTATGCAAAAAGCTTGGTAAGAATTAACAGCACCAGAGGCAGTAAATGGAAATCAGCGAACAGTAATTTTAATATGGGTAAAAACTACTCACTTAACAATTGTTAAAGCTATGAAAATCTGCAAAGCTGGGTAATTGAGTGAAAAAGACTAGGATTTGTCAAATTATGACTGAACAGTTCAAAGGAAAAATTGAAACTTTTTCCAGGCAGACTTTCATGGGTAGCGTTCCCAAATTTCCACTGAATTGTCAACTATTCAGTACTATGTGTCTATCAGTCAATCACAACAACAAATTTCAGTTGTGTTGCAAAATATTTTCCAGAATTTTGCAACACAAAAAATGTCTGCAGTAACATGAAAATGGAGTGTTTTAAAAGGGGTGGGGTGAATGTTGTGAGGTGAAAAGTTTAAGGAAAGGCCTAACTGGCGAACGAATAACTACAGGTGATGTAAAGTAAACGTACAAAGGACTTTACTCAGCAGAGTATAGAGCGCAGGGTCAGACAAAAGTTATAGGTAGAAAGGAGAGGTGAGACCTCTAAGGGGCTTAACAAAAGGAGGAAAATTTTATAATGAAATATTTGTAAATGTTAAATATGTATGTTGCCTCGGTCTGGATAATTGAAAAGTGAGATATGGGCAGCAAATGTTTGGATAGCTAAAGTTTATGGAGAATGCAGTGGCTGGCTCAGAGCAGTGGAGTAGTTGAGTCAGATCCTGTCAAACACAGGGCCATGCATGTCGACAAGCAACACTAGCGTTGCACACAGGCTCTATCTGAGGTCTACAGCTCTGATCAGGGCTGAATAGGGCAATGAAGTTGCCTGGGGTTTGGGCAGTATTCGTAAAGTCAGCAATGAAGGGACAGGATTTGGAGGGGAGAAACCAAAGAGTTAATTTAGTTTTTCCAATGTTTAGATGGAAGAAACTGAAGCTCATTCATGCCTGAGTATTAGAGAACCTGCTTAGTGATGGAGAGGGTATGAAGAACATTTGTATAAAAGTCATGTATACGTTGTCTTGTGCATCCAACAGAAAGTTACCTATTCTGAGCTAATTTCTTTGGTGTTTCATTGGAACTATGTTGAGGGTAGTTGATTGGCAAAGAATAGGAGATTGTTCACTCAGTCTTTATCTAAATGGGAAATCATAAAACCATTTGGCGTGTTGTGTTGTCAGCTTTTTAAAAACAGCTCTGCGATTAATCCCATTCTTTTGATCCTTATACAAGCTTTGCATATTTTTGCTTTTTCAAATCTTTATCCCATTCCCCTTTGAAGGCTACTTCTGAATCTGCTGCCCTTTCAGGTTGCATACTCCAACAAATCTTCATAACTTGTGATGTGAAAGAAGCATATCATCTGTCAGCTGGGCTTTTTTTCTGATTTATCTTAAAACTTTGTTTGTTAACGTCCTGCAAGTGAAAACTGTTTCTCATCTGCTACTGTAAGTACCTCATAATTTTGAACAACTCTATTAAATCTTACCTTTGCTTTTGAACCTGATGCCATAACTCCAGCAGGAAACAGCCCATTGGTGGGGCAAGCTCGAGGGGCTGAATTGCCTACTCCTGCTCCTAGTTCTTATGTTCATTCTGTGCAACCAGGTCAGTGCTGATATTTATGAACTACAGGAACCTCTCCTTTGTCCACCTCATCCCATCAACATATGACAGAGAAACAAATTAAGGATATGTTTATCTAATACGTGTTCAATGAGTTGTTCACTTTAGCAGAAAGGATTTAAAGAAAAAAATGTAGTGTATTACTTAGACAGAAAACGGGTACAAAAATCTGAGATGGAGAAGGATTTAAGTGGTCCAGTGTATGAGTCACACCAAGTTAGTGCAGGTACAGCACATAATCATGAAAGCTAATGGGATGCTATCATTTAACACAAGAGGAATTCAACGCAAATGAAAGAATGCTGTTGTTCAATTAAGTAGGGTATTTCCCTTAAGGTATTGCTGAGACCACAGTTGTATGCAATTTTGGACTTCTTTAAGGAAGAATGTAAATACATTGGAGTTAGTTCACAGGAGGTTTACTGGATTGATACCTGGAATAAGCAGGTTTTATGAGGAAATGTTGGGCATGCTGAGCTTGTTACCACTAGAGTTTAGAGGAGTGGGGGATGGCTTTATTGAAGTATATAAGACCCTGAGTGGTTTTGTCAGGGTAGGTAGGGAAAGGATGTTTCCTCTTGGTGAGTCTGGAACAAGGGAGCAATTATTTAAAATTAGTACTTATCGTTTGAGATGAGGAGGGAGTTTTACTGTTTTAAATTGTACTGCCCCAAGAAGGTAGTGGAGGCAGGGCTGTGAAATATTTACAAGACTTAAGGTAGATCATTCTTAGGCAGGGGTTCTGAGGTGATCGGGGTAGAAAGGAATGTGGAATTTGAAACAAACAGCTCAACCATCACCTTATTGAATGGCAGACCAGGCTCCAGGAGCCAGAAGATGCACTACTACTTCTAATTCCAATGTTTTTGTGCAATCATTTCCAAGTATACCCTAGGATCTTTCACGGTCAGCCTCTGTTTACAATAATGCTGTCTTGCCCATGCTGTCTTGTCCACCCTTTCTCGTGCGCTTTCATGTGTTGCATGCCCTTTCTCTCTCGATTGTGACTCCTGCCTCCATCTTCCTCCACCATCAACCCGCCTCCCCAGCCATGATTGCATGTAACTTCAATAATTTTGCGTCTAAATATCCCTTGTCACTTCAGAGGAAAAGAAGAAAAAGTAAACATAAATAGGAGGAGGAAGACATTTGCTTCAAAGATCCTACTCTGGCCTTGAATAAGATCAGATTGTGGCCTCCTTGTCATTTTTCTGCTTGCACCCACGTAACACATGACTTCCTTCGAGACTTCTTTTAAGACAACCTTAAAAAAATCAACGACCCACCCTCTGCTCTCTGGCTTCACCAGCGTGAGAGTTGTGATGTTCGACTAGATCGAACCTTGATATTGCAATGATGAATTCCACATGTTTACTTTTGAAGCTCATCTTGCAGGTATTGAAAACACTAATTCTCGTTTCCAGCTGCCTTGTTGCCAAACCTGCCTAACTTGGAGGAACTGGATCTTTCATGGAATGAATTAATTGGTGGAACACTCAAAGTGCTGACCAATCATATGCAGCACATACCCCAGCTGAGGGTACTGGTGCTGGGCAGCTGTAGACTGTCAGAGCTGGATCTTTCTGCCATAGGTACGTGCACTTAATTCCTACACTTTCCGATGTGCCAGAATATTGACATCGCAGGAGACATATTCACTTTTATGTATAATTGTCATATTTTGTGTCTTAAATTGCTCGCTCACCTGAAATCATTGATTCAGACTGGAGGACAGTTCCTGAAGAGATTACCATTACCATCAAGCCAGGAGATCAACACTAGTTCAATGGCAAGTGTAGACAGGCTTGCCAAGGGCAGCACCAGGCATAATTTTAAAAAAGACGTGTCAGTCTGGTGAAGCTCTAAAACAGGCCTAATTGTGTGCTAATCAGCAGAAGCAACATGTGGTGGACAGAACTAAGCTATTCCACAAAAATCAGATCAGATCTAAATGCTGCAGTCCTGTCTAATTTAATTGCTTTGATAGTGAAAAATGAAACAACTCCCTGGAGAAGGATTTTCCACAAATATCCCCATCCTCAAGGGTGAGGCAGCCCACCAAATCAGTGCAAAAGATAAGGCTGAAACATTTGCAACGATCTCCAGCATACAGAGTGGCGATTCATTTCTGCATCTTCCAGAGGTCCTCAGCATCATGACAGATGCCAGTCTTCAGTCAATTTGGCTTATTCCACATCATATCGAGTAACAGTTGGAGGCATTCAGAACTGAAAAGGCTGTGGGTCTTGACAATATTGTTGCAACATTGAGAGTTTGCAAGCACAGTTTTTTTTTAAGTTCATGGGATGTGGGCATCTCTGGCTGAGTCAGCCTTTATAGCCCATCCCTGGTTGCCCTTGAAAAGGTGGTGGAGAACTTACTTCTTGAACAACAGTAGTCCATTTTGTATAGACAGACCCACAAAACTGTTAGGGAAGGAGTTCCAGGATTTTGACCTAGTGACGGTGAAGAAACGGCGATATATTTCCAGGTCGGGATGGTAAATGATTTGGAGGGGGACTTGCAAGTGGTGGTGTTCCCATGTTTCATCTGCTTGTGTCCTTCTAGATGTAATGGTCATGGGTTTAGAAGGTTCTGTCTCAGGAACGTTGGTGAATTTCTGCAGTGCATCTTGTAGATGATACACGCTGCTACAAGTGAGCATCGGTGGTGGAGGGATTGAATATTTGGGGATCTGGTGCCAATCAAGCGGGCGGCTTTGTCCTGGATGGCATCAAGCTTCTTGAGTGTTGCTGAAGTTGCACTCATCCAGGCAAGTGGGGAGTATTCCATCACACTCCTGATTTGTGCCTTATATTTGGTGGCTAGGCTTTGGGGAGTTAGGAAGTGACTCATCGCAAGATTTGAAGTTGGTTACGGTTTGTACCTTACTTGTGAACAGCTGAATGGTATTGCCTATCTGATTAGAGGAGATACGACCTGGAATTACATTACCACCAGAACTCTCATACCATATTGCTCAACTGTGTATTTGATGATAGCATTCTGTTAGTGGCAAGCACCACTCAAGGTGCTATTGCATAATAACAGCATGAAGCAGCTCACTTTGCCTGTTGCTCAAACATTTGAGATACCCTGCCCTTCCAGGATAATCTGAGTTGGGCTAGCAATGTGGTATACTTGTGTATGTACTGCATTCGGTACAGAGCTTTGCTTAATACTTTTTTATTTGGGGTTAGCACGGTGGCTCAGTGGTTAGCATTGGTGCCTCACAGTGCTAGGGGCCTGATTCAATTCCATCCTTAGGCGACTGTCTGTGTGGAGTTTGCACATTCTCGCTTTATTTATGTGGGTTTCCTCTGGGTGCTTCAGTTTCCTCCTACAGTCTGAAGGTGTTCAGGTTAGGTAGATTGGCCATGCTAAATTGCCCATAGTGTCCACAGATGTGCAGGCTAGGTGCCCTGTCAATGGGAAATGCAGGGTTACAGGGATGAAGTTGGTCTGGGTGGGATGCTCTTAGGAGGGTTAATGTGGATTTGATGGACTGAATAGCCTGCTTCCACACTGTAGGGATTCTATGATTTTTTTTTTTTTAATTTTTTTTTTGAACTTCTATCTTTATATGCTGATTTAGCCCTAGATTTATACTCTGACCCCTCCTCTCACAGTCTATCATTTCCCATATAAATAACCTCTCTATTTTGTCTTATCTCTACTTTTTAATGTACCACATCTTCCCAAATTTCATCCCTGTTCCCACTATTTAACACCCGTTTACATCCCTAGTCATGCAACTTGCTGGAACACTGGTTCCAGCACGTTCAGCTGTAAACTATTCCATCATTACAGATTCAACTTTCTGGAATACTGGTGCCACTGACCCAAGATCTGGCGGAGCCTACTTCTCCCATACCTGCTTGGAGCCAGTCATTTGTTTCTCTCATCTAATTTGCCCTATGCTGATTTGTTCATTGCTCAGATAATGACCCAGCGAATGTTCTGCTCTTCAGTCTGGTGTTTTGCTCCTTGTATTTCCAATGTAGAACCTCTTTCTTTATCCTGTCTGTTTTTGGTGTCTACATGGGTCACAACATTGCATCTGTCCCCTCCCATTGCAAGTTGCTTTCCAGCCCTGAGCAGATGTCCTGAACCTTACCAATAGAAAGCGATAGATATTTACTATGTAAAATGTTATTTTGACGAATTAAACGGAATACTAATTGAAATTATTTTGCAGGTGACTGGATTCAACTCTTACCAAATGTTGAAGAAATTGATTTATCTTGGAACAGTGATTTGGGAGGAAATCTGTGTCTCTTTACCCAGAAGCTCAGAGCAGGCACTAAGCTAAAGATTCTAAAGCTGATAGATTGTAACCTAACTGCAGAAGATGGGATAGCCTTGGGTAATGATTACAAATGCAAACTTTAAATGAATTGTTTGATCCCAATTTCCTTACTTGTGTCTTGGCAAGGTTTTGTTTGGTCAATTTAAAGACAAGTAGTGGGAATTTGAACTTTTATCTTGCTCTCTTAGAATGTAATTAACATTTAGAAATTGTCATTAATTTGGAGGTCATGTTGTGATAGCATTATCACTGGACTAGTAACCCACAACTCCAGGCTGATGTTCTGGGGTCAAGTGTTTGAATCCCATGGCAAATGGTCGCTTATAAATTCAATGAAAAATAGCCTGGAATAAAACAAAATGGCATAATGGTGACCATGTAACAACTGTCAATTGTTCACAAATGTCCTATAGGGAAGGAAGTCTGTTAGTCATAACTGGTCTGAGTACATGTGAAACTAGACTTTCAGCAATGTAGTTGACTCTTAACTGCCATATGGGCAATTAGGGATGGATCATAAGTGCTGGCATAGGTTGCAATGTCCTCACCCATGAACAAAGTTATTTTTTGTTGAAGGTGTTTCGCTGGATTTGAAATATTGAGTATTTTTAATACAGAAACGGACCATTTCCAAAATGGTTTAGACTGACTTATCCTCTTGGCAAGTCTCCTTCCATCCCTGTTCATCTTGCACAAACTTTATTCCTCACATCAAATTATTTGAGGAGGCAACAGGCAACTCGGTGCCTGAAAGACTGGTTTAAGCAGAAACTCCTGTAACACTGCAGCAGCATTTAGATATTTGCTTGCTTTGCTGTAGACTCCAGGGCTATGGACCAAAAGTTGGAAAATGGGATGTGTTGTCAGGGCGCTGTTGATAGGAGCAGACATGATGGGGTGAATGGTCTCCTTGTGCGCTGTAAATTTCTCAGGAAACTGGAATAGTTCTCTGGGGAACAGGTACTAAGCAAAGACATGCTCAAAATCATGAATTCTACAAAAGTAAGAAAGAAATGCTTTTTCAGTGGAAGAAGGGATGGAAGGACACATTTGACGTGATTGCTATAAAAAAAAGTGAGTTGTTGTGATGTGCTGCCTAAAAATGTGGAGGCAAATTCAACGGAGAGGAAAGTGAAGGAGGTTGGGGAATCCCCAGCACAATTCTACAATAAAATCACCACATTGGGAGTGCGTGCTGACATCATGATCTTCAGATTGCCTTTTTAAGAAATAATAGATTAATTAAGATTTTATACAGTAACACATGGAAATCAATATTAGTACTGAACGACTAAGTTTAATGTAACATCCAAGAACAACGTCTGTCAATTTATAACCGACTTTTCTGAAAAAGTAATCATTATCTGAACGTTGGAAAAAATTTTTGAGAGTGCTAGTAAGTATCGAGTGTAAGGTAACAGGTTTACTATACTTGATGGGGAAAGAATTACAAGGCTCTGGGTTGAATGGTCACCTCCTGTGTATTTTCTTTTTAAAATCACTCCTCCAGTGATCATTTGGCCCAGTTTTGTTTTGTTTTTTTTAAATCGAATGGAAGTCACCATCATTGGTCAGTATCAGTTGTCCATTCCTAATGGCTCGAAGGCAGTTGAGTCAACCATTATTGTGGATCTAGAGTCTCCTGTAGGTACAAGGTAAACACCTAAAGGACATTAGTGAACCAGATGAGTTTTTATTATTGTGGTTACAGGTCACCTATTAAACTAGTTTCTTTTGTGCACTGCAGATTTATTTTACCTGTAGTGCTGGAATTTAATTCGGTCACCCCAGGGTTCTGAATTACTAGTCCAGTGACATTACCTCTGTCACCTACATAGACTCATAGATGTTTGCATTTCCCCTTTATTTCCAAAATAATTCAGCTTTGCTTACTTTTCTTTTAAATTCAAAGTGATGGAACAGCAATGTACACCTGAAAACAGTTCCAATGCTTTGAGTGATGACTGACACAATGGGCATGTGTCTTTCTGTAGTTTAAGTTAATTCATATTCTGTATAATCTCACAATCGAATGCAGAGAGACAGCGGTGTATACTATTTGAGCCTAGATGAAAAGAAACTGGAGTAGGCTGTTCAGCCCCTTGAGCCTGCTCCACCATTCAGTAGGATCATAGCTAATGCGACATTCCACATATCTACTTTCCTGCCCTTTCCCCATAAACCCTTGTTTCGCCTACTGATCAAGAATGTGTCTATCTCTGCCCAACGGCTCTCTGTGGCAAGGAGTACCAAAAGCACTTATCCCGCAGAAGAAATTACTCCTTGTCCCAATCTTAAATTGGGACCTCTTTATTCTGAGACAATGTCCTGTGGTCCTGGACACACTCATGAGTGGAAGCATCCTCTGAGCATTTACCCTGCTAAACCCCTTGAGAATCCTATATATTTGAATGTGATCACCTCTTATTCTTCTAAACTCCAGTGAGTAGAGCCTTAACCTATTTAGCCTTTGCTCATAAAGACAATCCCTCCATACCAATGATCAGCCTAGTGAGCCTTCTCTGGACTGGAAATCCAAGTACAATACATCTGCTGGTTCCCCTCTACCTACCCTGGTTGAGATTTTCCTTGAAAAGCACTATAAAATTAGTCAGACATGATTTCCCTTTAAAGCCATATTGAATCTGCCTGATTAGATTGAGTTTCCAAATGTTCTGCTATTACTTCCTTTAATGATTTGATTCCAGTATTTTTCCAACAAAAGATGTTAGGCTAATCGGCTTATAGTTTCCTGTTTCTTGCCTCCCTCCCTTTTTGAATAAGGGTGTCACATTTAACAGTTGTCCAATCATTTGGTACTTTTCCAGAATCCAGTGGTTGATGTTTGGAAAATTACAATGTATGCACTATCTCTCTAACTCAGCTGTTTTTAGAATCGTAGGATACAAGACTTTAGCCCATTAGTTTGTCTAATACTTCTTTGGCGATGGTACTTATGTTATTTAGTGTGAATGGGATGTTCAAAGTATCTACTTCCGTAAACACCGATGCAAAATATCTGTGTTTAATCCCCCTCTGCTATTACCTTGTCCCTTAAAACTGTCTCCCCAGATTCATTTCCTAAGGAGCCTGTGTTCACTCTGACCTCTCTTCCATTTTATATATTTAAATAAGCTTTCATTGTCAGTTTTTATATTCTTTGCTAGTTTGCCCTCAGTTTATTTTTTCTCTCTAATGTGTTTTTAGTCCTCTTTGCTGGGTTTTGAATTTATCCCAGTCTTCTGGGCTATCATTAACATTGGCCTCCTTTATATGCTTTTTCTTTCAACTTATACACTCCTTAACTTCGGTGGTTAGCCATGATTGGTTTATCCTCCTCTCGGAATCTTTTATCCTTTAGTGGGATGTATTTTTGCCTAGAGTCATGAATTACCTCATGAAATGTCTGCCAGTAGTTGCTTACTGTCAGTCCTGCTGATCTTTCCACCCAGTTCACTTTAGTTAACTCTATCATTGTTTCACAAACACGAACAAAAATTGATGGAAGAAACTCAGCAGGTCTGGCAGCATCTGTGGAGAGAAAGCAGAGTTAGCACTTCAAGTCCAGTGACCCTTCTTCAGAACCCTATCCTCATTTTATTGTATTCCCTTTATTTAAGCTAAACACAGTTATTTTTGACCCAAGTTTCTCACTGTTGAACATATTATGATCACTATTTCTGAGCGGATCTTTAACTCTGAGGTCATTTTATTAAACCCACCTCATTACCCATTACCAGATCCATGGAAACCTGCTCCTTGGTTGGCTTCATGACATATTGCTGTAGGAAGCTATCCCTAATGCACTCTGTGAATTTATTGTTGTAGCTATTGTTTGCATGATGATTAACTCCATCAGTATTAAGATTAAAGCCATCCATAATTATTGCTCTATTCTTTTCCTATTTGTTGCTTTATAGCCTTACACACTATATCTAGTATTTAGGGGTCTGTATATTACTCCTACCTACGTTTTCTTTCCCTTACAGTTCTTTCTTCCACCGAAATGGACTCTACGTCATCTGAGCCTAGATCACCTCTTGAACTATCCTTACTTCATTTCTTATTAACATTGCTATCCCACCACCTTTTGCATCCCTTCTGTCTCTCCAAAAGGTCAAATATCCCTGAATGTTAAATTCAGTTTTGATCTCCATGTGATGAGATTTCCATAATGGCCATGAGATCATATTCATTCATCTCGATTTGCAGTTCATCTACCTTACTCCGAATGCTTTGTGCCTTTAAGTTTGTTCTCCTGTCAAGTTTCCCAAAACTTTTACGGTTCCTTGGTACAATCTGACATTCACAAATTCTGTCGCTTCTATTTTCTGGTAACAATCAACCTCTTCACTAACCTGTAATCCTACCTTCTCCTTTACCTTTGACTTTTATAACGTTCTGTGCAACTGAACCCACCCCATGTCTATTTAATTAAAAGTCCTAACTACAGCCCTAGTTGTGATACTGTAGGACTTTCGTCCTATCATGAATCTGGTGGAGTCTGCCACATTTAGAGCAGCTCCCTCTTTCCCCAGTACTGGTGCTAATGTCCCATGAATTCAAACCTGTTTCTTCTGCCGTGTTGATCTTTGAGTCGCGTTATTCAGCACTCAGTTGGCTAAATTACTGAATTCTGATATTTTGTTTAAAAAGACTGGAGGTTCTTCACAGCTACAGTAACAAGTTTTTTTGATTTCTCTTCTAAAGGACAGGCTTTGTCTGTAATCTCAGAATTGGAAGTCTTGGATCTCTCTATGAATGAAGATGTGGGAAGTGGTCTGGAAGTCTTATTTCAGGAGCTGGAGCACGTACCTCATCTGCAAGTATTAAAGTTGCACCTGTGTGGATTAAAAAGGGACAACATCAATAATTTGGGTAATTTCTGTAATGTGGCAATAAGGTGAACTCAGTTTGTTCCTGTTGTATTTAATTTGCACTTGCCTTCTCTCAGCTGTATTCTTTTCTACATCTGTATTGTTTCTTTTGCCACATCCCTTCCTGTCCTCTTTCTCCAGACGGCTGCAAAGGGATATGCAACAATGATTGGGCAAGAAGATGGCAAAAGAATAAATGTGGGGAAGTGTGAAATTATCCATTTTGATAGGAAGGGGAAAACAGCATTTTTTTTTAAAGAAAATGACAAACTAGTAATTGTTGATGCTCGGAAGGATTTGGAGACCATTCTACATAAATCACAGAATGCTGGCATGCAATTGAAATGTATAATTTGGAAAGCAATTGGTATATTGCCTTGATTACAACGAAGTTTGGCTACAATTTCTGTTATGCCCAAATAAAATCACATGTTGCAATCTGATTAGGGACCATTAACTTTTTAAGCAAGTAGACAAAGTTTGAAATTGCAGGTACATACCAGGAGAATAGAGCCACAGGATTCCAGCATTTTGAACAAACAAAATAAACTTTATAGTTCCAGAATTGTTAGGGTGCAGTCAGAGGCTGTTTGAGGCCATTATATCTGCAACTACTCACTGAGCATCTGACTCAAAACCATTTTCCTGTCTTTTCCCTGCGACCTGCTTGTTGATTCTCTTCAAATAATAGTTTAATGTTCTGTGTGTTTTGCAGATCCTAACTACTCACTGTGTGAAAGTGGGTTTATTTTTCCTCAGATCACATTTGCTGCTTTTTCAAATCTCTAAGTGTTTATCCTTTCATTCTCAATCTTTTGCGAGTGGAAACAGTTTCTCACTAACGCCTCTGCCCAGACCCCTCATGATTTTGTAAGCTACAACCAAATCACCTCCAGCCTTCACCTCAGCAAGGCAAACAGTCCCAACTATCTCCATAACTGGAATGTCTCATCCTTGAAACCATTCTTGTAAACCTCTTCTGCACACTTTCTGAGATAACAAGGTGTAGAGCTGGATGAACACAGCAGGCCGAGGAGGAGCAGGAAGGCTGACGTTTCGGGCCTAGACCCTTCTTCAGAAAAGCTCCTACTATCTCTGAAACAATTTTAACCCCACTGCGAAGCCTCTTCTAAGGATGCCTTCCCTGAAGAAGTTACCCTCCTCCCTCCACCCGAAACATCAGCCTTCCTGCTCCTCTGCTGCTGCTTGGCCTGCTGTGTTCATCCAGCTCTACACCTTGTTATCTCGGATTCTCCAGCTTCTGCAGTTCCTACTATCTCTGCACACTTTCCGATGTGTTTACAACCCTTCCTGAAGTGTGGCTGCCAAACCTGCCCAGTGCACAATATCCCAGCTTAGACCTAAACAGTGTCCTATAAGTTTAGCAGACCCCTTTTGTTCTTGTATTTTATGCTGCATTAATAAAGCCATGTTTTATTAACTGATCTCTCCAACTGAACTACCACATTTTTTAACTATTTAAACACAAATAAACCCAAGTTTCTTTGCTCCTTTTGGGTTTATTTTATTTTACTATAATCTTTATTTATATACTGTCTCTCCATGTTCTTTCTACCAAAAGGTATCGCCTCACTTTTCTACATTGAACTTTATCTGACTTCTATCCACTTACTTCACCAACTTTTCAATGTTTTTTTTTTTAAGTTCTGCACTGTTCTGTTCACAGTATACAATTCTCATAAGTTTTATATCATGTGCAAATTTTGAAATGGTGCCCTTGTCACTAATATATAAACCATTAATTATATATTTGGAAAAGCAAAGATCACAATACTGACTGATGGGTAGCTCCACTAAAAGCCTCCTTATGGCCCAAAAATTCTATGAACCATTACTGACTGTTTCCAATCCCTCAGCATTTATTCCACGTTTTTTTTCACCTTTTATTCCACTAGCTCTAACTTTGCTTACAATCTCTATGACGTAGTGCCATACACCTTGCTATGTGCCCAATTCTCTGGGTTATATAGGTGCCTGACAGTATCTCTTCAGCTGTATGAAGCATTCTTCACAAACTTTCTCTGACAAACCTGACCGAGCAAACTGTTACTCATTTGTTTTTGAACTGTTTTGAGTGATCCATCAAAACACTCCCAAGGGTTCTGCTCTCATTACTTGGTAAAATGTGAGCATTTTGTGTGGCTACTATGTGTGTTCAGAGTCAAAAAGTTGACCCCCTGATCTTGGGATACGGGATCATGGTTCATGACTGGAACAGGGAGAAATCTGCTCAGTTGAGGGTTTTGAATCTTTAACTCGCTACCTCTGAAGTTCGTGGATGTTTTGTTGTGTATTCAAGAGACCATGTTCAACAGAGTTTTTGATATCAAGGGACATGGGGAAAGCAGAATTGATGTCAAGGGTAGAGCAGGCTTGTTAGACATTCTCATCTTCCACATCCTGGTAAACCTTCTCCATTCCTTTTCTAAGGCATTTCCATATTTCCTGAAACGTGATGCCCAGAATTATCTGTAGTATTCCATCTGAGGCCTGATCAATAATTTATGAATTTCTAGAATATTCTTTTAATTTCATTTTCTGTTCTTCTATTTATCCCTTTTTATAAAGCAGGCAGCTTGTATGTAGGTTTTTACCACCTTATCAGCTTGTCTTATCATCTTTTATGGATTTACATAAAAATGGGCATGGAGTGCTTTATGCTTGCCCACACTTTACAATATTAGGTTATTTATAGTACGCGGTACGTCTAAAGTATTGTCACCCACAGAACTACTAGAAACCTCAGCACAATAAACCATTAGAGCAAAACAAGGCTGTGTCATGACACCAACACTCTTCTCCACTTTCCTTGCTGCATGGAATACTCTACTTCACCTCCAGCAAATTATCCCTAGATAAGCAGACATGAAACTGTTCAGCGATAGTAGGAACTGCAGATGCTGGAGAATCCGAGACAACAAGGTGCAGGGCTGGATGAACACAGCAGGCCAAGCAGCCTCTCTGCTCCTATGATG